GAATAACACATGCTTGTTGTCTGGGAGGAGAGGAAGGTGTCCCTGGGTGGCAGTATCAGGCACATCAGTGGCACCAACTGCAGAGTGACCTCCTTCCAGCTCTAGGCAAGGTTTGATGCAAGTTGCCTGTGGCACTGAAGAACGGATATATCGCAGGTCACTGGTATGTGCTGAAAGCACCTCAAGTGCACGGTTAAGGCTGAATGGGAAGTGTCACTGTCTGATATTGTCCTGAGCTTTTTGATAGTGTTTGCTGTGCAGCAAAGCCATGGCTGCTGGTATTTTTTAAGATCTGAAGTGTCATTATTATTATTCATAAACAGCAAATAAATTGGCTTTGGTGTTTTAATAAGGTGCGCTAGAGGTAATGTATAATCCAGGTCTTCACTCCTGAATGTGTAATCCAGTTAGTCTGAGAACCCTCATAAAACACCGCAGGCTCACAAACATAATCCTAAGATTGCTGTCAGGGGGACTGTAGAAAGGTGATTAAAGACTACTTGATCTTTGTGTGTGTTTTATTTAAATCAAAGTATGACTTTTTGTGAAAGAAGGTTACTGTTTGTCAGTAAGAAAATTTTGATAATAAAAAAGATTGTTCATGTGTAAGGTGCATAAACTTGCTTTTCCTTCAAAAACACCGGTAATTGGCATTTTGCAAAGAAACTTGCAAATTCTTATGAAAGATAAAAAAAAAAATCACTAGTTACATTTTAAAAGAAAGAAAAGAAAGAGGGAGAAATATTCCTGCAGCAAATATCTGTGCCATGGGTATCCAAACAGCTGAAAACATTGTGACTTATTACAGCTATTTGAGTCCATATACTTGAAAGCATGGGTGTTTTCAGTGGTGGTAACTTACAATGTACCAAGTTGATTCTACTGCAGGTCAATCCTTGATTTCGTTACTGTTTGTGGGCAATTTGTAATCAGTCTGGACTGTAAGCTGTCTGGAATGCTGGTCCCCAAAGAGCAGAGAGTGCAGTGGTGCTTGGAAGAGTCTTAACTGGCTGAATCAATTGGTTTAGTTTTCAAATCAAGATGATTTACCTTTCTGGAAAATACCCTTTGGTCAGATAGAAATCATTTGACTTAAAGGGGGTCTGTGTTATGCAGGAGGCCAGGCTTCCTGTGGTCATAATCCCTTCTAGCAAAAAACAGTCTGAAAATTGGTTGCTAGTGTAAGGATACAAGTACAGTACATCGTTGTTTAATGCATGAAAACAGACTACTAAGCTGTATACTTTGTACAATGGTTATACGCTCCCCCTCCAGCTTATAATTACATGTGAGGCACAGTGGTCAGATAAGTAAAATGTAGTATGATTCCTTCCTTCAGCATAAATTGCATCAGGTAACCGAGCCCCTTTCCGGTAATACCCTCTAGTGCATTGTATGCCCTTCCAGTAACATGATGCAAGAGCAATTGCCCAGGCCCCCTAGCCAGTTGTGGCTTTGTATTCCCTGGTTTCAGATACTGTATTTCACTGCTTTTCCTCTGCTAATACTTACATTTTACAGAAAAGAAAGAAAATACTGAACAGTTTTCTGGTCCTTTGCTTTAGAATACAAGTTTGCAAAAGAGGAAGCTGTTCTTATTCAAAAAGTTGTATCAAACAAAATGAAGACATTATCCCTCCCTTTTCCCCTCCTGCCACCATAGGTGCGGTTGCTGTAGATGTTTGGCATGTATGTCTGATGGGACTGTTCCTCGATATAAGGTTACTTGTGCTTGAGTGCCGTCAGGATCAGGGCTGTCATCAGTTAGCCAGATACTAATCCCACAAACTTTAACATGTGCTTTCAACCTTTGCTCATGAAAACCAGTCGCTTGAACAAGGGCTTGCAGATTTAGTATTCTGACAATGGGAATTCCTTCCCTTATTTCACTATGTAGTCAGAAACCTGATGAAATACTGGGGAAAAAATTTGCAATTGTATGGTCACATGGTTTGATGCCTGGATAATTCACTGGCTCTTGCCCAGGACCGGTCTAATCTAAGGAATATGACTCTTTGTTGCCTGTTCTGTTTCTATAGAAACTTTCGGTTACTTATTTCTTAATCACGTCTCAAAAGGTACTTGCTATATGAAGAATTAATGAACAGTATTAAAATAAATTGTTGTTACTTTATTATGATCACTTCTTGTAAAAATTCCTCAGAGAGATTACCAGTTTGAACTGCTGTGATTTCATTCTGGTTGCATCACATGTCTGCATGTAAAAAAAAAAAAAAAAAAAAAAAACCCACCCCAAAAAAATCCCACCACACCCCAAAAAAATAACATTGACCTACAATGCAAAATGGAACAGTTCCTGAATGAAAGCAATCAGCAAGGGGTAGCTGCATGATTGCAAGAGTAAATATTAATTGGCTCTAACGTATGTAAGAACACATAAATTGTTTTTAAATATCACATGTATCATCTATCAAAGCATTTATTTCATGATATAAGTAAATTTTTACTGATAAACTGTCTGTTGCAGTTGACTTGGTAAGCTAGACTTTGAATTTCCATGGGGTCTTCTGGAGGTCTGTGGATTTTCTTTAACTCACTGCATGGATATTTCTGCAACGCATTTTCATTGCTGAAAAGACACTGGGCAACTCCTACTTACTGCACCAGTGGAAAGTATTCTTTCTTTTCTTTTCCTTACCTACCTCCCACCTGTTGTTTCAGTGCTGGCCAGTCTTTTTTTTTTTTTTTTAATAGTGCTCTCCGCATTTCTTGAATACACTGCTCTGTCTTACATTGTTTCTGTTTGGTGGGGCAGGGGGATGTTCCTCTCCTCCTCCTATCTTCAGTATCTCAGGAAGAAGGAGGTAGGATGGGAAGCACCTCTTAACTTGATGTTGCTGTCAGTAGGTTTGCTCTGGCTCTCTGACCATAGCTGTGTACCCCAGTTTTTACAGCTGCAGTGCCCTCCTAGAACTTGTGGCAGAATTGGTTGGTAGGACCACCCACACACCAACAGATTTGGAAATACAGCAGGAGGAAAGAAACAAGCATATTTTTAAAGATTACAGGGACTTAACAGTGTATCTGTACCTCAGAGAAGACTGCATTTGGCCAGCATACAACTTTATTTAGATGTTACATCATGCCTGTGGCACATTTAGTACTGTCAGTAGACATGTGAAGCTGCAAAGCATGAAGAATCTTTGGCTTAAGCCCTGCTACATGTTTGCAGCAAACCCAGATGATTAACACAGTGTAGTGTCTGGCTTGGTCTGCACTCCAGTTGAGCAATACTCTTGAGCCGAGTAGTAGCTTTAAGCATTTGAGGATCTTTGCCTGTATTTGAAGTGAAACATGCACACCTGCTTTCTGGTTTTGTGAAGGTAGAATGGAGAGTATATGTAACAGAAAAGATGTTTAAAAGAACATTATAACCTACTTCAGTCTGCTGAGTTTGAAAATACCTAGGAGGGCTGGTGGAGGGTTGATCAGAGGCAGCTTGTCAGTGTACACCAGTAATCAAAATGCATGAGACGAGGGTTTAGGATTGCAATAGGAACAACTAAAGCTAGTTAGACTAATGAACACTGGGGTATTTTGCATTAATATTTTGTGTTCATATCCTATAATCAGCAGCCAGCTCTCTAATACTGCTTGCTAATGAATGACCTGATGTTGTGTCCAGACTTGTTTCTTGTGTATTTCAGAATCCTTGGATTAAAAAGTGATGGATATTAATGCATCAGGCAGGAAGAGATTACATTTGATCTGGCCTGTGAAGATCTGTATAAAATAAAAAAAACATAGAATGGGGGAATACAAAGTCACTGATAGGTGGGGTATTTCCAAATATCAGTTTCAGTTCAGATTTAGGGGATCTACTAACATGGAAAATGGGTAGTGCTTTTATATCTTTATGATGTATAAAGCAAATCTGAAAGAAGAACAGCGAGGGAAGCAGTCTTCTGTGCCTGTTATGACAGTCCAAAACGAGGAACTAATAAAACTATGACAGTAAATGATGAAAACAGCCACTTGAAATGAGAAGAGGATTTTAACGGGAGTGTTTTAGATTTTTTTTTTGTGAGTGCAGTTTATTTCAGCTGTTTAAAAAAACCCCTAATTTCTACCCCAATAAATATTTGCAGAAAAAAAGATCTTTGAAAGTTTCTCCATCTGTTTTCAATATGTGAATTTGCTGAGAACTTCAACATGAGAATTTAAATCCAACATCTCTGCAGGGGAGATGAAAATTCTTTGTGGAGGTGAAAAGGGGGGAAACTTTTGTACCTTTTAAAAATAAATAGGGCTTCTTGTGGGAGAAGGTTTGGGGGGTTAGCGTTTGGTTTGTGTGTAATTTCTTATTAAAAAAGGCTCTAGAATTTGTGGAAACATAGTTAGGAATTATTGGTAGCATTTGGTATGCAACTGTTGATGGGCCCCCTCAGTAGCAAAGAATTTTCAAAGCTACTTCAGGAAAACAGTATGGCTTTGTCTTTCATCAGTATTCTTTCAGCTGAAAAACAGCCGGACTGTTAGGCATTTTGATCCTTTCTGCCCTAAAGAAACAGACCATTAAGTAGCATAATTATTTTTGCTGGAAGTCTTAGTTTTTCCTAGCTGACATTTGAGTTTTGAACCCTTCTAGGGTGTATTGTCTGGGGTTTCTTGTTGGTGGTGTGGTGGATTTTTTTTTGTTTGTTTTTCCCCAGGGCTCCAAAAGGATATGAAATGCAGAAAAGAACTAAATAACTTTTAAACATGGTTTTATAAAACAGCTATCTTCTGCTTTGCTTCAGTTTGTCTGCCTTTATGCTAGAATCAGTGTATGTTTAAAAGTTGAAGTCTTGTTGAAACAGAGGATTTTTCCCTCTGGAGTTACTTTCCCTCTTTACAACATGAGGCAACAAATGTGGGGATGAATACATAGGTCTGCATTTTGCTGTGGAGGGTGAAATGGAAGGGGGGTGTGGAGCCACCTCCTGTGGGATCTTGAATGATCCATCGCTGTGTATTTATCAGAATTTCCTGTTCCATAGGTCTCCTTGTGGGTACTCTTGATGTCGTGTTGGACTCCAGTGCCAGAGTGGCACCGTATCGAATCCTCTACCAAGCACCAGACTCCTTGGTCTATTGGACTATCGCCTGTGGTAAGGACAAACATGTGATGTGGATTTTTATTCTTCCTGGATACTGTGCCACATAACTAATAGAGCATCTTGCCTACTGAGCACAGTCATTTCAGGACAAATAAATGGGTCAGGATGAAAACCTGCTCTAGTGGTTAAATTAAGAATCTCCAGAGCTGCTAATATTCAGACCTTGAATGCCAGCATGTGTGTATGTGTTATGCACAATGACTGAGTAAAACCAGAAATGGCCATGGAACAGACAGAAGCCTCTGTTATTTCCCACCCTTCATCTCCCAAATATGTTCCCAGACAAGCAGTCTAGTATCCATCCCTCCTCCTTGCATGTTCTTCTCCATGCCTATGGCTCACTCCTACAGCACTTCTAAAGTGCAGCATTCCTGGGTGATGTGGTATCTCTAAAGAGTATGGTAGAAGGAGTACCTGGGTTATAGCCCCCCAAATTACCCAGGCTGGGCACCTGGCTTCCCTTGAAATGGAAACCAGGAAGATAGTGCAACCCCAGCTCTCACCTGAGTACTGAATATCGGTGTGGCATTTCCTAGATAGTGAGCTCAGTCTCCTCCAGATAAATACCATCTATATCCCCCAGGATGCTCCTGGATGTTTATTTCAGGTGGTACGTTGTCTTTCTAAATATGATGTACTTAGAAATTCAGCAAGATGGTAGCTAGGTTAGAGTTAAATACAGAAGTGTATGTTCTTACATAGATGCAACAACTCTTAAGAGTTTTGGTCTTTAAGGCTCAAACTTTGACAGCTCTTACTGTAAGACTGTTTCTTCTGTCATTCTAGTAGTTGGTGAAATCAATGAAGTTGATATTTTGGTACATTAAGTAGGATTTTCCCATGCTTTAGATCCTGTAAATACTAAATGCTTATTTCTGTGGTCAGGTACCTATTGCAAGTAGCATAAAGCAGTATGTAGTTAGTCTCTGGTTCTGTTTGCCAGCTCTGAAAAGTGTCTGAAGCTGAATGAAGAAGGTTGAGGTTACTTAGCTTTGATTGGCCAAGCTTGTAAGGTCAGATGCTCAGTTTGACAGTATTGCTTTTCAGGCTTAGCAGATGGAAATTTTCGAATGCGACTCCTCTAGCTCTGAAGTTTCAAACACTGTTTTAGGCAGCAGCCAGAATTGTGTTCAACTGAAAGAAAATTGAGAAGGGACAAATGAGAAGTGCACACATGCCTGTCATCTCCTTAATATACTGGTAACTTCCAGCACCCCCAATGCTGCCTGACATTGAAAAAATACTAGTTAATGAAGCTGTAGACTTCTTCTGGCCTAACAGTGCCCTCTCATCTGTGCCCATTCTCCCAATAAAATTTGACATTCAGATTATTTGGATGACTTTTCCTCCTGACAAATCCTCTCCTTTTGGGAAGGAAGAGGAGGAGGAACGGATGAAGGTTTGCCATAGATCTAGTAATTTTAGCAGTTCAAAGTAGGCTCTATTCTTATGAGCATATGATTTATATGTCTGACAAAGGCGGTATCAAACTTGTGTCATGTTCTGAATCCTATAGGAAGTTTTTGAATAGCTCATCTTAGTACCAGTATTTCTTGCTACTTTTAATGGTCTCAGACCTGAAAGAAGGCATTTTCCCTCTGCACCTATTAGTACCAACTCACTGAAGATTTTAAAATTTATATAACATAATTTGCCTGTAGTGACAGCTGATAGTAAAAACAGATATTAATGAAATTGTCAATATTATGAAGGTTGTTTCTAAATCTTCATTTAACTGCTTGCTTTGTACTGTCAGCTACTCTGCTGTGACCATAAGTATTGGGACCTTGCATGTCAGCTTTCCGTGGATCTCAGTCGTGAGAAAGAAGGGTAAAAGTACTTGCCAGTGTTTATTTACACTATTTGTGTACAAGCAGAGGTAGTTGCAAGTGCACATACAATCCCTTCTTCCCTTCATCCAAATGTCAGTGCGCAGCAATTACTAAGCACCTCTGTACCATAAACTTGAAAGGGAGCAACTGAGGGCACGAATTTTCATGCTGTTTGCAGACTCCTTTCCAAAGAAAATAATATATCACAAAGTTTCCAACAAAATAGTGTCTCTTCAAAGACCCTTGTACTGTGCACATATTCAGAAATGAATTTTTAAGACTTTGAAAATAGGCCATGTGACTTTTCCTTAAGTGCATTTTCAGGTTTTTTTGCATGACACCAATAGATAATTACTATAATTTTATACCTACAGTGTGTGTCCTCAGATAACCAGGGGCACAAAATTGAAGGCAGATGAGTTATGGCCCCAGAATAAACAAATGTAACATACATGTAGAAATTTATGCTGCTGCTGAACTGTGAGGGTTTTGTTTCTCTTCTGTGACAGATATTGCAGGTTTTATGTAGAAATATGGTACTCTGTTTACATTTAAGCTAATTTTAATAAACATGCTCTTCAGTTATGAATCTTAAGCCTAATTGAAATTGCTAAAGTAGTTAACATAGATATCAGTGCTTCCATTTGGTGGAGCGTTTGTTGAAATTTTAGTCTCCTAATATCTGGTTGGTTGATTGGCTTAGTTATTTTTGTTAAAGTATAAGACTGCACTAGCTTAGTCTTGTCCCCTGAGGGGAATAGCGTGGCTGTTACAGGAAGGTAAGATTTTACAGAGAGCAAATTGTTTATCTAAGCAACCTTGAAGCTGAGCAGCCCAGTGTTGCCTAAGGCTCTGTGCTGTGGTTATTTTATGAACTTGCAACTAAAGTAATTCCTTCTGAAGTGATCAAGGGTTGTTACCATTATACAGGTTACTAAGGGATTTGGCTGCATTTAGCTATGCAACTCTGATTTGTCCTGCATTGTACAGCTGTCCCTCCCTGTTCCCTAGGGGTAGACTGCTGGTTATGTGGCACTTGTAATCTCTTATTTTTACAGAAATTTGTCATAGTGTTCTCTCTACCTTCCATAAAGCAATAATCTCCATCTTCAGTAAGTAGCTATAAAGAGTGACTGGAACAAATATGATTGTGTCCTGGTTCATTCATGCTGTATGACATTAGGTCTTGTTCTGTACAAGATTATTCTGATGGTAAAAAATAATCCAAGGGGGTTTGTTTGCTTTAAAATGACTATTTAAGTTATGTTTAGACCCCAGATTTGTTTAGAATTCATTTTGGATGTGAATTCTCTTGGGTATTAACTATACTGTTAGAGTTAGAGTGCTGTTGTGTTTACGAGCCATAATTATTTTCTCCTCCCTCTCTGCACAAATTGAGGTATTGCCAGTCCAATCCTGAACCTGTCATTGCTGCAAGAACAATTTTAGGCTCCCTGAAGTGTTAGAGGTTCTCTTGTAGTTCTGCTAAGGCAGCAGTTCAGGTTGACTAATAAGTATCTTGGGTAAGTATCTACTTGGGAGAGAAGACCGGACGTGACAGCCTCATCAGCTGTCTCAAGCCATTCCTATTCCTCAGTCATTGGCTGAAACAATAATGAGATTATACTTTGGAGTGTGTTTGAAAGCATGTTTATATGACTTGTTAATTTTCTTCTCAGTCCTGAACTCGGTCACATTCCCTCTGTGCCTTCACCTCTTACCTTAGGCAAACCAACCCAGATGCTAGAAACCTAACCCTGACACACAGTGATGTTCCAATGCTGCTCATGCTGTTACTCCACCCCACCTGCCAGGCAATTGCCCCTTCTCATCCGCTCTCCAGCACCATGCATCCTTCCTCCATCCAGCTCTTCTGGTCTGGACCTCCCTTAGTTCTCCAACTTCTGTTCTACATGCCTATTTAGTTTTCTCCCTGAAGATGGAGGAGAATAGCTCAGTCTACCAGGGATGCTGGCCAACATTACACCATTTCAGCCATAAGCTAAGCATACCACTTAGAGGGGAAGGAGTGATTAGTAGCCTACTGTATGCATTGTAGCTATTTTTTCTTTTATTTCCTGCCAGTCTTGAGGGTTTTGTATTCCCAAGTGCAGTGGTTTAACTGTTAAATGTTTTTTTACCTTCCATGAGAGTTAGAGATATTGCTTAATTTACCCTAAAAGGCCAATGATGGCAAAATGGTGAATGCTTCTAATATGTTAAGATAGGCAAAGACTTGCCCGTAGCAGACTTAAAATAGACCTGTAGTTTAAAAGATCACAGCAGAAGTCTTTTTTAATCTTGAGTGAACAAAGCAAAGAGAAAGATCTAGACTGATGATAAATTGATGAGAACTGGGGTGTGGGTTTTGGCCTGATTGCATGATCTGCTGGAGATGAGACTGGGAGAGTAAACAGTAAGTGGAGACAAAAAGCAATGGAAACAACGAGATGGGTTATTACAGGTTGAGAATAATCAACCAAAGCTGTTTCATAAGAGGTGATGAAAAATAATTGATGAACCACAAACAAGAAATAGACAGCTTTAAGAAATAATCTATCATGATAGTGTGTCTGCACTGCTCATCACCGAAAAAATGAGCAATTTTTCTGGCAGTCTAGTTTTATATACATAGCTTATGTATTTCATCATTGCTTTTTACAGCAGTGTAAAAACCAAGAAGAAACAAATTAGTCTTCAGACCACCTCCCGAGTTCCAGAAAGGTCTGGTTGCATCCAGTAATTTTAAGGAGAAGCGGCAGTGGCCATCACTTGTGGTTCTGAAATATTGGTTATGTAATGCAGGCTATTCTGCAACATGAGGAAACATGAAATTGCTACTCTACCCTTAATTGGTTTAGTGGTGGACTCGGTAATGTTAGGTTAATGGTTGGACTGGATGATCTTAAAGGTCTTTTCCAACCTGAACGATTCTATGATTTATGTATCCATACAACAACTAGAATGTTGTATGCTGTTGCTTTCATTGGAGTTGTGTAAAGCTTTGATTGTATACTGTAGAAAGAATATTTTTCCCCATCATTTGTTGCTGAATAACAAGGAAAATGATTGTTTGGTATCTATTCAAGATGGTTGCACTGAGTTCTTCTATAAACTGTGGAAACACTTATGCACAGACATGTGACAATTTGTGCCTGTAATGAAACTGATGGAGTTACTAGCAACAGTTCATTGTAATTTAACCTCTTTCTAATGGTTGATTCACTTTGGATTCTGTAGGCGTTAGTTAGCAGGTAGGTGATTTACTTGCTAGTTCTGAGTAAAATGAGCCAAATCTGTGATTTGAACAAAAAGATGACATAGTGTTGATGCTATTTGCTACCTGGATTGAGATACTTTTAACCAAGCTTCAGGTACAGATGTTCCTATGTGAACAAGTAATGTTTGTTTTCTGAAAATGCTTACTTAAAAGTCCCGGTTTTGACATAATTTCCTCAATGTCTTTTTCTGGGGGAACAATTATTTTTGTGAGTGCTTGAATTTATTCTTCCTTCAGGGTGGGCACAGAGAGATCCTGAAGAGCACGAACAACTTTAATCTGCAAGATGCTGAGAACAGGGTCAAAATGGAAGTTATATTTATTACAATCCATCTCAAGTAAAATAGAAGCAAAAATGTGCATATATAAACTCTAGTTCATACAAGAAGCTTTTTCATCCCTGTTCTGTACTACTATACTGACCACATGTATGCTGATTCCTTAGTGTCAAAGATATCTGACTTGACCCCTTTTGGTCTCCTAAGCAAACTAGGGTCATTGGAGTTTAGTTCATTCTTTCATCATTAGAAGTAAACCACTTCTGACAACCTTCTTCCCCTTAAAAGATACAGCTTTCTTAGAGGTCTTTCAGCACAGTTCTTTTTAGGAAGAGACATTCTAATGATCCTTTTCAGCTTTTACTCTTGAAATTTTATCATTGTTTTATAATTTATAGATGTGCATAATGGTGAAGAATTAGGAACCAATGGTAGAATTTACAACTGTTGGGTTTTTTTGTCAGCTCCTAACAGAGGCAGGTAATACCTTTGCTAACTCTTTAATGTGACATTGGGCAGCTCGGTGTTGTTATTGTGGTTAGAATTCTAAATGTAGGGGGGGTTTGCTCACGATACTGACATAAGTAGCTTGTGCTTCGCACAGAATAATCTTGAAGATTGCTACCTATTTATTATGAAATTAAAGACTATGGGAGAAAATTTTGGAATTTCCAGGGACACAGCTTCTGGTGAAATATTGAATCTCCAGTTAGTGGCGAGTTTTGTTAGAGTCTTGTTTATGATTAAGAGGACAATGACATTGGTGAATTATTTATTTTGTGACTTTTTGGATTGGTTTTGGTTTTTGTTTGTTTTTTTTTACATACAGGTTGCTCAAGGAAGGAAATCACTGAACACTGGGAATGGCTTGAACAGAATTTGTTGCAAACTCTTTCAATCTTTGAAAATGAGAATGACATAAATACATTTGTCAGAGGAAAAATACAGGTAGTTAAATATATTATTATAAATGCTGTTGATGATAATGTGACTGTGAAAGGAAAACTGACGTGAGTTCTAAACAAATTTGACCTGGTAGTTCCCAGGCTGCTCTACTTTTTTGAAGGAAAACCAGATTCTAAATACCAACGTGCATGTAAAAATTAGGGAAACTGGGATTAGTGCACATAACTACAGCAGTGTGATTAAAAAAATATGGACATATTAAAATATATAGACAGGACTTCAAACATTGTATGTTCTAAAATTAATTGTACTGTTGCTTCTGTCTTAAACTTCAACAGTTTTCTATGTAACTGCTTTTCCAGTGCAAAGCTTTAGGTTTTTTTTCACACACTCATATAATGTCTCTTTGCACTCTTCTGGGTAGTTAAATCCTGTAGTGTTGGCATTTACACTTCGTATAGGTGTTAGGGGTTGCTGTTTGATTCATTGGTGGGGTTTTTTTTGGTTGGGGGGGGGGCAGGGACGGGGGGCAGGTTGTGGCGTTGGGGAGGTGTTTTGGTCAGTTTTACCAGAATTTCTTTTTTCTCCTTACAGGGGAGAGAGTAGCTATACTGGTAAAAAGTACTTTATCCACACTAAGAATTACCTAAAAATAAATATTTTGGTAAAAGATTGATTGTAAGCAAAATTACTGTACTTACTTGGTGTGTATTCTAAGCATTGGCTTTGTCTAATTCCTCTTTTTAACATTTCATGTAGTAAGTCAACTGTCCTGAGAATCCCCTGGTTGTTTGTGTTTTACTGTTGAATCAGGCATGAGGGCTATAGATGATCATGGAAACACCTTATGTGAGAAGACATGTCTTGTGGAATAGAATCTTTTGAGGAAATTGTTACTTTTTGGTTTGACAAATATTAAATATGAATGATGGCTGGCTGTCTTATACTCTGCTTTCCATGTAAATGGAGGAATTTGAAGGCAAGAAGTAACTTTCCTTCATATAACTTTAAAATAGAAGGCAATAGAGAAGATTTATAAAAGAGATTGGGAAAATAAGTGAGTAGACTAAAACTTCAGTACAGAACAGAAGGAACTGTAGTCTTTGAGGTATCAAAAAGCAGCTTTTCACCAGACTGCTACCACTTCAAATTTGGTAAAGGTATTCTGCACCTGAAAGTGTGAATGACTTTTCCATCTTGCCAGTTAATCTAATAGGAGATTTTTTTTTTTTTTTCCTCTTGCTCTTTTCTTTTGCTCAAGATTGACTGAGGGGTCATACAAGTTGTTTGATATTTTCCCTAATGAATAACAGATCCTTTTTTCCTTTGACTTTTGTCCTTCCTTTTTGAAGAAAATTTTCCGGTGAAATCCTATCCCTGTCTCTTCAGGGAGCATATTTACGTGGAAGGGGAAAATTTTACAAATTATAAGTGCTTTACAGAGTTGTTAGGAGTGTTTGAGATAGGCTGGTTAATTTAAAACAGGGTACTGGCAGGTGGTTGGTTGCTTTTGACATAGGCATGGTAGGGAGCAAGGTCATCAGAAAGACATTGAATAAAATAAATAACTGTGTAAGCAAAAGAATGAGCAGAAGAATAAGGGATAAGCAAAAAACTTTCTTGACACTGCAGTAACTGTTGTGGCCTCTGGCCCAGACAGCCATGGTAATAAGGATATCTATGATACCCCATGGCAACTAACATGCTGTGTACTTCTTTCACTCTCTACTAGGGCATCATCGCTGAGTACAACAAAATCAATGGCATCAAGGAGGATGATGATACAGAAAAATTTAAGGAAGCCATAGTGAAATTTCACAAGCTATTTGGGATGCCGGAAGAAGAGAAATTAGTGAACTACTACTCCTGCAGTTATTGGAAGGGGAAGGTTCCCCGTCAGGGCTGGGTGTATCTCAGTATTAATCACCTTTGCTTTTATTCTTTCCTCATGGGCAGGGAAGGTACGTTTTACAGTGGATTGGTGGTCTGTGCATCTAAGAATTGTTAGGAAGTCTTCTATAGTTCGTTACTGTTCACCTGCTGAGGGTACAAAGACACTGAGGAGGAAAAGAGGAGCAGGGAGCAATTCCCTGATTGTCACACTGCTTAACTCTGTGCTTGTTCCCTTGTTTGTTTTCTATTTCTCGAAGTAATTCTCTGTAAAACAATATCTGGGCATCGTTTAAAGGCATGTTTCACTTCAGGGACTGTGCCCAAAAGGGAATAGGGGTGAGATCATACCAGTTTTGGCTCCTTCTGCTCTTATACAATCCCCCGGTACTATTCTGGCAGACTTTGCAACCTCAAATGCCACATTTACTCTTGTACAACACCAGAGCATCACAAAGGGCACAGAGGAGACCCAGGATCAAGAACTACATAGTGTGGATGCAACCAGTCTGCTCTAGAGGGAGTTAATTCTAAGCAGTGTGGAGGTGAGCGAGTCTGCAGTGCTCGGTTGTGGGCAATGGATCAGTCCCAGGTCTTTCTGTTTCGCTGTGTACACATGCCCTAGTGAATGAATGGATTTTTTTTTTTTTGACAATAATAAATGTAGATTTAGTCCCTGTTTTAAGGACAATATCCTAACTTGTAGTGGTGTTGGAAGAAAAGCCAAGGATCTGTCATAACTAATAATTGAAACTTTCTAATGTATAAAAATAATGCAAGCCTGTCTGATGTGTTTAGACTACATTTCTCTGCTTCCATAGGAAAAGAGGACATCAGAGTCTGAGCAAGTGCTGTGGCAATGATAAATTATGTTAGCCCACCTAGCTTTGTAATGCTTTTGTGTGGTGTTCTGTACAGAAGTAAATGGTATTTAAACTCTTTTATCTGCTGTTTGTCAGGTGATCATAGTTTGTTTGTACAAGCTGGGTCTATTTATGCTGTCCTCCCTGCTTTTCAAGATGCAAGAAAATTTCAGCTGAATACATTTTATAGGAAGAGGAAGATAAATGCTTTTGAATATGCTAAATTTTGTACTGAATCTTTTTTTTGCTTGCTTCTGTTCAGCAAAGTTAGTTATCCGCTGGGTCGATATCACTCAACTTGAGAAGAACGCTACACTGCTTTTCCCTGATATGATCAAAGTGAGCACAAGGTCAAGCGAACATTTCTTTTCAGTATTCCTTAATATCAGTGAGACATTTAAACTAATGGAACAGCTTGCCAATATAGCGATGCGACAGCTTTTGGACAATGAAGGATTTGAACAAGACAGGTCATTACCCAAACTGAAAAAGAAATCCCCCAAAAAAGTATCTGCACTAAAACGGTAGGTAGCACTTGCCTTTAGTCATTTGTTTCTCTTCAGTCCTTTTACTTGCAGCATTTTGTCCAAAAGTTTTCTAACGTTGCTGTCATTTACTGTTACTCCAAAAGGAATGATTGATTCTAGCAGTGGCAAAAAGTGAATAATTACTTAAATATAATTACTTGGTCTCCTGTTGAAATAGGAAAGGGAAAACATTTTGAATGTGAACATGCTGCAAAAATAAAAGAAACATATTTGAGCCAATTTCTCATTTGTTTAGAAGTTCTTTAACATATCTCTTGACACTGGCTGTGTTAGGTATCTATTGTGAGGCCCTTTTATGTTACCAGGGGAAGATAATAAAGCGATTTAAGTATTGTTAAGAAATGTACCTAATATTCATACTTGGTCTTATAACTGGAATTGAAAAATGACTCTAGGTGATGAATTCTAGAACTTATTTTAGGTAACAGAGATACATAATATTCTAGGAGATGAAAAATAATATGGAAAATATTTCTGCTTCTTTTATAGATATCATACTGCAACTCGATAGTTTCTTGTTAATTTTTTTCATTATTTTATATGTTGATCATCTTAGTGAACCATACAGGATTGTAACCTGTGCCTGTTTATATTTATCATTACTTAGTGACACCTGACATGCATTATATCACTTAGGTTTGTCTTTCTAACTGTTCAGTATTTTGCACTGAATGCATTATCAAGACCAAGTCTTGAAATTGTTAACAAACTCTAGCCCTAAGAATTCCATCACGTTAATAAATAAGCCTCAAAGAAGCGGTTTTGGTGGAATATTACATGGGGTCACGTGTTATTTAATAATAAATGGATTCACTGCGTATGTTCTCAGAAAGTAGGGCTGAATGTGAAAAGATCACTGTCTGCCCCATCTGAGAAGTCAGGATCAATGTATCCAAGTCATTCATGGCAGAATTTTTTTTCATATAGTTTTACCGTCTTCCAGCAGCAGAGACTATACATCCCCTATATGCAAACTGTTTCCACTGTTTTGCTGTACACTCAGTGCTTAACTGAGTTGTATGTTGCAGGTAACTTGCAATGATTTGTATAAAATGTATTATGTATTTCTTAAAACAAGAAAAGTTTTCTGTGGGTTTTTTTTTTTCAGGGATCTTGATGCCAGAGCAAAGAGTGAGAGATACCGTGCATTGTTCCGACTTCCCAAGGATGAGAAATTAGATGGACACACAGACTGTACTCTCTGGACTCCATTCAACAAAATGCATATTTTGGGTCAGATGTTTGTTTCTACAAACTACATTTGCTTTACTAGTAAAGAAGAGAACTTGTGCAGTCTTATTATCCCTCTTCGAGAGGTAAATATTTGTATTTGTAAATTTATAGGGCAAATAATAAAGCAATATCCTATTGGAAATTGCATCCTAGCTTTGATTTTTTTTTTTTTTTCATTATTGGAGAAAAACCTCTTTTCATCCCTTTAATCTCTTGTGAGCATACTATTCTGATGTGTTCTAAGTAACATTTAACGACTGTATCTTAGTTCAAAGTTTCTACTACTAAAATTCGCAGGGAGTTTTCTCTGTCAGTTTCTACCACCCTTGTGAGTCCTTCCTCTCCCATAATTTATATTCTGATTTACTGCCTCATAGTAATTTTTTTTATTGTGCCTCATAGGGAGGGATGGACGATAAAACTTCCTATGATGATGAGTGGAACTTCTATTAAGGAATCTGTCAGATAAGATTTGCTTTTGTCAGATGTAAAAAGATTCATAATCCTAAAGATTTGAATTGTCTCTTTACACAGACTTGCAATCATTTATTCCTGTATATGGAAAATATTTGTCAGCATTTTGCAAATTGGTGTGCTTCCTTTTTTAAAGCTGTCTGCTTAAAGCAGATGTTCAGTAAAAAGAATTCAAGTTTGATACAATAAAAAAAATTATGTTGGGGAGGTTTTTTACGATTGATTTGATTTGTGGGTTAATGGAAAAATGTGTAAAGTAAGTCTTGGAAATAGTAGCAAACTGATGTAACCAAGGACAGTTTGGCTTGACTGAAGAACCATGGAATATTTCAAGGCACTGTTTTCCCCCATAATTCATTAAGAATAAAGATAAATGGTATTTGTTTAGAAACTTTGAAGAACAGCTTCTCCACAGTGTGTTGCAATGACTGGTTATTTGAGGAGACACATTCAATAATGGTTGCACTGTTTGTCTGGAACTCCAAGGGAATGACAATCCTTCAGGTAAAGTGGTAGAGGAGGAGAACAAAGTCTGCATTTAACAGGACCTCTTTTCCTGGATGCAGATTCAGCAACTGCTTTTGACAACCGCAGCAGCATGGGATTCAAAGCAGCTCTAAAGCTGTAAGAGAAAGAAATAGCTGAAGGAGTAAGCGCCTTTGTGTGAACAGGTTAAGTCCCAGCACCAGCAAGGAGAACAGTAACACACTGGGTAGTGCTAGTCCTCAGAACAACGGATCAGTACCCTTAATAATTAAAGGGAAGCTTTCTCTTTAAGTAAAGCTTTGGGTCAGACCCTAACCTAATTCCAGTATTCTTTGACACCCTGGAGATATTTTGACAGATGAGACAATAACAACACATTGATTCAGAAACGATGATCGGAAAAGAGGATTTTCAGTGGCTGACTGCACTGCTTACTGCACCCAGTAGATGCAGTGTCCAAGATCAGCACTTTCACATATCATGTGTGTGTCTCTACTTGAATAGGAGATAAGTGGGTATTTGCTCTTATTACAGCGGAGCATGCTTGCTATAATGTCTTGTGCCTCTAGAACTTGTCTTTCTTTTGTGCTGATTATGCTCAAACAGTTTTAAGTGGAACAGAAAAATGACATAGGAACACTTTTTAGCTAATTTCAATATGCTGGTAGTGAAGTTCCTTTAAGTTAATGAAGAACTAACAGATTTGAAGTTAACAGAAAAATAAAAAGAAGTTGGAAGGATAGACAGGTGATTTAGCACCTGAGCTGTGAATTGCAGCTGTCTTTAAATACATCTTCAAAGAAAGTGTTGTGTGAAAAATGGTTATCCTATCCTTTTAGCTAGAGAAATACTAATATTACAGCACTAATGTCTTAACCATTGATCTCTATTTTTAAAAGAGTTTAGAAAAAGAGCAAAAGTAGAGGTCCTGGTAAACTGAAATGTGCACTTTTCTATTCAGAAGGCAGTAAGACATTACCTAGGAAATTTTTTAAAGTCATAAAAGCAGTGGTTAAAAGCACTTATGATTTGTGTTATGTTCAGTGTATGAACTGCACAAACTTGACTGATTGGTTTATTTGTTTTTAAGGCTAATAATTGGTAATGTTTAGAACGCGCAGCTGTTATAATTCATCTGCAGTGTATGACTTATCCCTGAGATTTCTCTGTGTTAATGTGCTTTAGCGAAAGCTCGGGGAACTCAGTAGCTTGTGGTGTGAGTACTGTTTATAGGTTGGAGCTCAGTGACCATTTCACTAACAACTGAAGCCAAACAGAAACCTCCACCTCACACAGGGTTAGATGTTTTCCTTTGTAAGGAAAGACATGGGGTTACTTTCCCTGTGGTGCAAGTTTCTGTGTACTGTGAAAATACAGTTGCAATAACAGTTGTTATCACAGTATGCAACCATAATATAATGGAACAGAAGTATTATCCAAAATATGGCTTATTTGCATATATTGGCAATAAAAAGTAAGCAAAAGTCTCTGTTGATTCAGCCTGTACTGGTGTTGGGGAGCAGGAGAGGGATTCGGAGGTCCTACAAAAAAGCCCATAGATCTGCATCCCACAGAAGAAATTTAGTTTTACTGATTCTTTTAAAATAAATCCTGAGGAAAATAAGCTAAGCAGTGCAAAGGAGTCTTGCTGGAGAATTTACTGAAGCCAGTTGTTTGAGGGATGACAGTCTTCATCTTTCAGACTTGTAAGTCCTTGTATCCAAATCCTGTTTTGCAGCAGAGGGATGGATGTCCATAGAGGTTCAATATAAAGGGGGCAGGGGCATGGGCTTATTGTATTAAGATGGTTTCTTAGACCAAGCAACTTGATTAATTAAAGATCTTAAGCTGTAGCTACTGTTTCTCCCTAGGTGACAATAGTGGAAAAGGCAGACAGCTCCAGTGTGTTGCCCAGCCCATTATCAATCAGCACGAAAAACAGAATGACGTTCCTCTTTGCCAACTTGAAAGACAGAGACTTTCTTGTACAGAGGATCTCAGACTTTCTGCAGCAAACCACTTCAAAAATATACTTGGAAAAAAATATTTCTGGAAGCTATATAAGCTCAGATGATGAGGTACGTGGAGGAACATGAATTGTTTGCTTGAAGAAGGGGCTTTTTAACTGGTGTGGGAAGAGAGAATCCAGGAAAAGCCTTTAAGTTTTTGTAAAGTTCAACCTTTGTACGCAGAAATAGTACATCTTTTTTGTTAATACTTTTAGATTTCTTAAGCTGAGCTGTTACAATGTTGTGATTAGGATCTCTATTTTCTTCATGTTAGACCTAAGAGAAATCATCATTGCTGTGGAAGAATTACTCTAACTCGTGCTGCCACATTCTGAAATTACAGTATATCTCATTGGAAAGTGTCATAGTTATCTAACTGGTTAATTGCATAATACTGTTTAATATCTATTGACTTGTCCAAGTCAAATGTGTTTGTGGAATTTCAGTAATGTGAAGAAATTATCAGTTAATATGAAAGTCTTTTTATTCAAGACTTTAGCTGCTAAATCTCATCCTTTGAATCTTTAGAAAAGGATGTCTGAGCTGAGCAAGTTTGCATGTGCACTGCTAGCGAACTTTGGAACGTTTGAACTAACAAACTCCCGCTGGGCATCAGATGGGCCTGTTCTGAACCACCTCCCTATTTACCTATGCAAAGTAAATGGTTCTTAAAAGATATGATTAGATAAACTTTTCTCAGGCACTTTGAATATCAAGGCATCTGCTGAATTCCTAGGTTTTATGAAATTTAGGTGCTTTATATCACAACCTCATCAGATCTGTTAAACCCAGCAAAGTTTAGCAGTTCAGATCTCAAAGCAGAAAAGGCTTTTGTGGTGTATCCTTTTGGTTTTATGGAGGTAGATCTCACATTCCAAGTCTGTACTAAGCCATTCCTTAGTACTGTGCTGAGTAGCCCCTACCCTGTTTGCCATGTAAATCTTAAAAGTCAGTTTTTTACTTGCTTTGTTGATGATGAGGTACAGTTGGTGCATTCTTGTCGTTGTATACCAGAGCACATGTACATATAGGTATAATGCTGAAACTTTGTTTTGCCTTTTGCCCTAAATGGATCTGCTTATTCTACCCACTGAATTATAAATGCACATTAATAATTGCAAGCATTATTATTACATTTAGTAATATGACTACATATGTAGATATGCATGACGACTAATTTAAATTTCAGGCATTTAATGTGAACTGCTATATCAGATCTTACTGTGATAAAAATTTTCAAAGCTGTTTGCGAAGTCAGAAAATCCTTTTTCTTCAAAATATTTTTCTTCCAAATCACAATCTGACAGTGTTGAATTTTCTGTAGAACATTTTTTCTGAGTGGAACAAAATAATTTGGTTTGTGTATGTCTGTATAAGCATACATAAACATGTGTACACACATACATATAAATATATGTTATATATAAATCTTACATTCTGGACAGTGAAGGAGCCACCTGGAGAGTCAACAGTCCTATGATGTTGACAGGAGCCCAAGGGAACTGGTTTAATTGCTTGGGGCTGCTTAAAGTGAACACTACCTTAGCAATTCTAATTATAGGAAGTGATTACTTTTCTTGGGACGGGAGAGAGGGGGAGCTATTGAGGAACTGCAAACAATTTCATTATTCTATACTGGTTTAATTTCTGCTGTTACATGCTCACTCTGTGAATATACCTGGGTGATTTAATTCACTCAGGTTTTGTTAGCATGTATAAATTTTGAAGTAAAATGAAGTAAAAAGTCCAGACTCTGGCTCAGCCCCACATCTGTATTGCTTATGGCTGCTTTTTACAGGTGTTTACAAGATCAAGTAGTTTAATTTCTGCCAGCCCTCATAAAAGCCTCAGCTCTGAGTCAGAGGGAGAGCGACAGTTCAATCTCAATGACAATGGCATTCCAACAGCAACTCAAGCTTTAATGACAATGTATCGGCGGAGGTCACCTGAGGAGTTCAACCCCAAACTGGTAAAATGCACCTTGGAGTGCTGTACCTGACAGAGAAAATTGTTAAATTGTGTTTTCTTTAAAATCCATGTTTCTGACCCAGAAGAGTTTCATTCTGCCACAGGCAGTTAAGAGGCAATATTTTTCACAGAAATAGAGCATTGAGCATGCTGTCATCTTACCAATACAAACAACTTCACTACATAAAAAAGCAAAGCTGGATGTAAGTCAAGGAGAGGTTGTATGCCTGCTCTTAAGTACAGCTGCTTCAACAATACTTTTAAGAGCAAGGTCTACTGGGATAGAAACTAAGAAATGGGAGGAGGGAGCCCATTAAGAAGAGAATTGGACTGTAGCCAAGTTATTTCTTGCTCACTTGGAAAGTTAGGGTGTTGCAGGCTTTTTAGCACTTAGCATTTCAGTGGGGCAGAGTGTTAGAAAGAGAAGGTGCATCTTTATGCCTACCTTTCTCTGCTTTTAGGCTAAAGAGTTTTTGAAGGAACAGGCCTGGAAGATTCACTTTGCTGAATATGGCCAAGGAGTCTGTATGTATCGTACAGAGAAAACCAGAGACCTTGTGCTGAAGGGCATTCCAGAAAGCATGAGAGGGGAACTTTGGCTGCTATTTTCAGGTAGGTATTCATTTGAAAGTGACTGTGGGATATAAGCAAAGACTTTATATGATGACCTAATGATGCTTTCTGGTTTGTTTTCTATTTCTTCCCTAATAATGCTTAATCTTGTACATCTTCTCTTTGCTGCTGGGCATTAAACAAATGTTCAGAAAATATACGCAGGAAGGCACAGATCTGTCCTGTGTCTAATTAATAGCTAGTTTGGACCAATTTTCATGGTGTATGTATAATTAGTATTTTCCATATGCATTACTTTGCGCTACTGACACTTGATTTCCTTTGCTGCTGAAATTTTCATTTCCAGAGAAGTTTTAAAGTCAGCAGTGAAATCTCATAGCAACTCTGTGAGCATGCGATAGTATCCGTAAGTGCCCTGCCCAAGATGACAGAGTCATTTTCAGAAGCAAGAACAGAGCTCGGGAGTTCCTGTTTCTTGCTTTTGGCTGAGATATCATACTTTCTGCAACCAAGCATTAATCTACTCCCTCCTCAGGGCAAGTAGCTTTCCCAGAGGCGTGTTTTGAGTTATTTAGGATAATCAAACCCATAGCCAGCTGCAGAGAGAACTCATGATACCGTGTGACTGCACAGCTTGTTTGTTCTTCATGCCTCCTGTTTCGTTCTGGCTGAAAGAGAGAGAGGCTTTATCATCTCCCCCCCCCCTTTTTTTTTTTTTCTTTAACCTCATTATAAAATGCCTCTAGCGGAGAAGCAAGAAAGGGTGATACCTCAATCACCTAAGAACATCCTTGGGGTTTTTTTTCCATCACCTTTACAAAAATAACATTTCATATTTGCTTTCAGAGTGCTTGTTGGTGACATTCAAGATGAAAGGGTAGAAGATCATCGTGTTGGGATACTGTATCTGCTAACCCTTGCTTTTTTCTTCTGATTTTAATACTGTTCTCTCACTCCCAGGAGCCATTAATGAAATGGCCACTCATCCTGGCTATTATGAGGACCTAGTGGAGAAATCAATGGGGAAGTATAACCTTGCTACAGAAGAGATAGAGAGGGATCTGCACCGCTCCCTTCCGGAACACCCTGCATTCCAGAATGAGATGGGTATTGCTGCTCTAAGGAGAGTCTTGACAGCTTATGCTTTTAGAAATCCAAACATAGGATATTGTCAGGTAATTGAACTACCTTGGCACTCCTTCAACTTCTGGAATTCCAGTTCTTTCCTTGTACTCCTACTTCTTCAGTCACATACATGAGTATTTGGCTGTGTAAAGTACACCGATACATGTATAATGCTGTGAGGTAAAGCTTCAATGCTGCAGAATTACAGTAAGGCTGAGGTCAGAGATTTGGCACAAGGACCTACTCTAACAGAAGCATTAGCAGTGCATGCTGAGAGATGTGCATAGTTTTCTGTGAGCATATTTTCTGCCCATAAATCTAGAGACTGGACAGAGGATAACAGAGCTGTCCTGGAGTGCATCTACAGAAAATGACAAATGGACCCTGAAGAAAGGTTCTTTTAAGCAGAGGTCATTGTACAATGCTGTGATATTTGAAATGGAGTGAAACAGGCTGTAAAAAACTGTGATGTACATGGTCAAACATGGAGAGTGAGCAACAGCAAGAGAGTTTTGTTTCACTATGCTCTGATTGTTCATGACTGACACTGTTACAGGCATTTGCCTCAGCTCACAGATGCTGTGTCTTGACCTTTTCATAGAGGCAGAAAGCATGGGGAGTGCAGACTGCCTCTGCAAGGAGTGGTACAACAGCGGCCATCATTAGTGCTGTAGGAGACATTTTGTCTGCATCAGACCAAGATTCCCCAAGAGCACCTACTGGCAGATAATCAGTAGCAATGTAACTGGATGCTTGCAGACCTGAGTAGGCCCTTGATTATGAAAAGAAATCTTGATTTCTTTTTTTCTTAAACAACAATTTTTTTTATTATTTTTTTTTTTAATCTGAGGCTTTCTTAAGCCTTCCTTTGAGCACTGGGAAAACACTGCATGCTTCTTTTACAGGAAAATACTTGAACAGTTGGGGTCTGCAGGGGGAGATGTAGCTAATTTCCTAACCATAGTAACCACTTCTCTGCCCAGTTACTGTGCTAGATATCGAATAAATGGGTCTAGCGATTTACATTTCTCTTTCTTTTAGGCTATGAATATTGTCACTTCAGTACTCCTCCTTTATGCAAAAGAGGAGGAAGCTTTCTGGCTGCTGGTGGCTTTGTGTGAACGTATGCTACCTGACTACTACAACACAAGAGTTGTTGGTATGTTATGGGGAAATTTTCTAAAATGACAGTACAAAAATTAATTAAATTAATTGGTATTATTTGTATTGAAACAAGCATATGTGTAGATGTATGTGTGGCGTAGATACAACTGTGAATGCTAGTGGCAAGACAGCTTGCTCAGGAGCATAGAAGCAATTCCCTAAACAGATAATGTGATAGGTAAGAGTTGTTTACTTACTTAGGATTAGGTGGCATTCTAAAGCGGGCTTGAACAAAGTAGATAAAAAAGAGGTGGGAGGCTAAAATTTGAATTTTAGATGATCCAGTTATCTAATTCAGGTAAGGTGGAACCAGGAGTTTGGCAATTTGCAGTAGAACTCTGTGCCTGTTTACCTCTGATTTGAAAGGGCACAAGTATCTGAAAGCTATTGTTGTCAGATGACTGCTTCCTTGTATATGTGGAAGTGAATGGCTCTTCTATCACGGAAACTGGCTTTACTGTAGCTCACAAACGCTTGAGATACTCATTCAGCCTTAGAAATTATTCTTCCTGGCCTGCTTAAGACACTGATGTTATGGCATAGATATGTATAACGCAGGGTTCTCTTGAAATAAATCCAAGCTCTCACAGACAGTCACCCTGGCGTCCTCCAACAGGTGATGCTGGGAAGTCTTATTCTAATTAGTAATGGTAAGTACTAAGCCATCATATAAATTCTGTAGGTGCTAGACCAAACTGACCCTTTGTTAGCTCTTATGAAGTCTATAATTAAAACAAAAAAACACCCTTATTACAGTTCAATTTGTACATACAGCTCAGTAGTGAAATAGAATCTGTTATTTATCTGAAAGTGAGCAAATGTGTGTAAGCATCATGTAGAATTTTCTTAGGTTTTGTATTTATACATACAGAATATATGTATATATTTTTTTCTCCCCTAAAAGGTGATGTGGTCAGTTGCTCCTGAATTAATGGACATCCAACCTTATTTGTTTTCAACAGGAGCATTGGTGGATCAGGGTGTCTTTGAAGAGCTGGCTCGTGACTATGTTCCACAGCTTTATGACTGCATGCAGGACTTGGGTGTAATATCCACCATTTCCCTGTCCTGGTTCCTCACTCTTTTCCTCAGTGTTATGCCATTTGAAAGTGCAGTGGTGGTTGTGGACTGTTTCTTCTGTGAAGGAATAAAGGTGATATTTCAATTAGCGCTCGCTGTCCTCGATGCTAATGTAGACAAGCTGCTTAACTGTAAAGATGATGGAGAAGCCATGACAGTCTTGGGAAGGTATTTATTACAGAACATAAAGTCTCTTCATTTTATTTTTCTTTTTGCTTATTTTTCTGATTTGTGTTCTTCTATGTTGAAATACTCAATTTAAACCAGTGCAATATATGTAAGTCTTTTGCACGCTTATAGTCTGCTTTCACCCATACAACGTACTCTTTATATTATCTTAAAATAATATTAAGTGACCAACAAGGTATGGATTCTTCTTTCAAGACATTCAAATAAACTTCCCAAACGTGGTTATAGAACCTTATTTTGGTTGATTATTTTAGTTGATTGTATGGTTTCTGTTACTTCATCTTTTGCCTGCTACTTTTTAAATGCTGCTAAGAAAAAGCCTTGATCTCAAGAGAAATTGTTTTGGGAATGGACTAAACAGAACTCAGAAGAATTAGGTAGGCTCTCAAATGAATAGATTTCAGTGAAACAGGAGGCTGATAAATGGACTGGGTTGAGTCGTTTAATACAAACTCATACTGCTGAGTGTAACCTCATGTTTGGTAGTAGTGTTTAGTTTTCAAGATGCTGCTGATACTTTGGAAATTTTTTTCCTAATAAATTTTAATAGTATAATGTTACTGAAGTCTGGTTTTAATTTCTTTGGGATTAAAGATGACTGTGGTTATGTTTTCTCTGAAGTAAGCTCCAGTGTTTGAGTCTTTAAGTGTTCTGCGGCTGCAGGGTAGAAGACAGATGATGTACAGCAGCTGCACCGGTGGGAGGAACAAGCCCTTAAAGCCCCTTGCAGTTTAGGTTGGGCAGTAGTAGGACGGGGGTATGTAGACTGAAGCACACTGACCCTTGTTCCCATGGTGTCATAATTCCCTTAGCATATTTAAACAGCCAGAAGCAACAAACCTGTTCAGTAAGCCACTCATTTGTGACTAGCTATATTTGAGCTATGTCTTGATAAGGATAATGAATTACCAGGGTTATCTTAGCTGTCTTTGAGAAAAAGCAGTGTTAGGATTTGTCAAACTACTGTCAAAAATCATGTAGTCAATAGTAGAGCGGTAGAGTGGCTTGATCATTTTTACATCCAGTAATATATATGTAACGCTTATTCTAGTAACCCTTATTCTATTAACCCTCAGAAGGGAGGGGGTACAAACAAATCTTGGGTTTCTCATTTCTTTTTTTTTTTCCCCACCAGATATTTGGACAGCGTAACTAATAAGGACAGCACTCTTCCACCCATTCCTCATCTTCACTCACTGCTCAGTGATGATGTAGAGCCTTATCCTGAGGTGGATATCTTCAGACTAATCAGGTCTTCCTATGAGGTAGGATAGGATTTCTTAACAGGAACTTGCCAACCCACACTAGTACTGCTTTACAGCGGAATTTGATACTCCAGTTTGGCTTTGCTTGGAACTAAAAGAACATAGAAGAAATACAGATGCATCTCAGAAGTCCAAAATGGGGCAGGGGAGAGGGGTTAGTCTTTCTTGTAATCAAAACTTGTAATTGGAGCTGTTTTGTACAGAAGCCTGCAGCATCAAAGGAGAGCACCCTACAACCAAAAAGTCATTTACAAACAAAAGGCTGAACTTGTAATTCAGAAAAGGTTAATTCTTATCTAAGCTTTTTCATGCTTTTCCAAACTGAAATATTAGTGAAATCTATATCATTTCAGAACTTTGTTTCAGTGGAACTTTATTTCTTTTACTTTTCTTTTTTTTTTTTTTTTTTTTTCCCCAGCAAGTGCTAATTATGACCATGGGCCACTAGCTTCTGCATTATTACCAAAGCTAAGAAAATTACAAGTGAAAGGATCTGGTAACAACTAATATCTGTAAAGCACAGGACAAAGCCTGCAAAAAAACTAAAACTTGCAAACCAGTTTCATTGTCCTTGAATTTTAAAAATAAGCCATCAGTTAAAATACCGCTGATTACGCTGACACATTAATTTTTTTTAAACAAAATTAAAGAATAACTTTAAAGAGTAACCCTCCTTAATTTCCTTTTTTCCTTCCATTGACATGCAGGGTTAAGTAGTATTTTTAGTTCAAGATGTAGGTTCATACTTAGCAATATGACAGCTGTTTCAGAGGCACTTCCTATGTCCCTAAAACCTCCTTGCTTTAAAAGCATGGTATCTATTTAACAAGGAAGTAGGTAGTCCTTAGTGTATTCTACACTGGAGGGCAAACTGAATCAAGTTAGATGTACAGTTCTTCTCCTTCAAACAATGTTAGAATGGGGAGAAGGATGTTTATGTGAAATTCTGTTTCCCTCGTATCTTTCTGATTTCCTCATCAAGAAGACAGCTTACGTTGGCTTAACTGCTTTTAGATGAATAACCTGACTCCATGCGGAGCCAGTCTGTCTTTTTGGGGCTTATGCAGCACAGAACCTTGTAGCTGCTTCTAAATAAATAAGCAGCTATAGTCCAGTATAATTAAGCAAAACGAATAGCATGGGGAGCGAAGAACTGTGAGGAATGCAGGAGTTGGTTGCAAAGAGGGAATTAGTTTCAGGAGAGTCATTGTTGGTTGATTTGATTATTAAAAAATCCCCAAGAATTCAATAGTAAACTATCAAGATAAAAAAACTTCAAGGCATCTGTTGCTCAATGACTGTTACGTTCCTCAATTAGTTGTGTGCAGTCAGAGCTGGGAACTCACTGTTAGCTTTGTTGCGGCTACAAAGAGCGAAATATCAAGCAAGCGAGCATATCTTTGCTCTTTTTAGAATTTAAGCTGTTAAAGGTACTTGTTGGGTAACCAACTATCCTTAATTTTCTAGACATTTATTGTTTATGAAAAAATGGGAAGACCTACAGCTGAAAAAAATGCTTTTTCTTGGAGTCCTTTGCCCTCCCTCAAACACACACACACCACCCCCAAAGAGGGGAAACCTTCTCCCTTGCAGACTGTCCTATGATATTTGTCATGGGAGTGTGATGAGTCTGAGAACTTGGTGAAGGCGTAGCACTGGCAAAAGACAATATTTGTATTGTTTTATGAAGAGCTGCTTTCCATCATGTTCTGATCCTGTCCAGCTTTTAGGTAATCATGTCAGATGCATATATGAGAAGTCTCCAGTGAAAGCTGAAGTGATGCAGAGGAATTTTTTGGTAATTAAGCAATTAGCACCCCTCTCTGCGATGATACTGAACTGACTTTCTACTTTTAAGAGAGAAACATTCTTGAAATAAGGGAATATACATAACAAGTACATTTTACCCTGCCAGTATTTTTTTTATTTACTGAAAATACTTTTTAGTAAGAAATCTCTTATCTTTTCATTCAATTTTGCAATTAATTCAGATGTCGTAGAACCTGGCATTGTAATAATTACAATAGAATTGACTGAAATAATGCATAATCACTACAGCTTTAAAAGCCTGTGCATAGCTCACTAGCTGTCAATGGAGTGTAGACTCAGATATTCAAAGCTGTTATGTGCTTAACTCCTTTGATTTGTGTCTTAGTTAATTTGGAAAAAAAAAAAAGGCCTTAAACACTTAAGCTATATCTGTAGTAGTACCTGGGTCTTGGTCATTTTAACTAAACAACAGATACTCAAAGGTCTGTGCTGTTGAAAGGTTTGATACAGTTTTGACCTAGAACAAGTGACACACTTCCAACAATTCCCTGTATGATTTGAAAGTTAACACGGGTAAGGGACCATTCCCAGAAGGTAATTGCATGCAACCTTCCTTTTCTATAGGCTGCATGAGTTCTAGTTGTATGGATGTGGACAGACCATCTCATTTGGCCTCCAGACCGGAGAATCAGCCCTTATTACTGGAATAGGTGTGGCCTCAGAGCCACAAAAGACCTCTCTTTTCAAGGTTTTGTGACCTCTGTGATGCTTGATATTCATGGATGTTTATCTAGATTCCATTTTTTTCAAAAGACTACTTTATTTGCAAAATGTTCCAAGTACATGAAACATCTTTTTACTCCTGAGGTACATGATAAAGGTGCACGGCTTTACAGATAAACACAGCTTTAGCATTAATTTGATCACACAAGAATGTGCTAGCAAATTATGACCTTATGTAGATGCACTTGCACTGGAAATATAAACCCATCCTGTATGAAAACGTATCTTGCCACCCCCTTTTAGTTTTACATGCGGCATACTTGATGTCTGGCATTATTGTTCCTGCTGGTCATCTGCATTTCTAAGTACGTTACAAGTGTTTTCTTAATGGCAAAAACTTCTGCTTATAGTTCACAAAAATAAATCTTAGGGATTAGTCATTCCTCTTCATATGAAAACATGGAACACTATTCCTAATAGGTTTTCCCCTAGGATGTTTCTGTAGTATATGCAGGAGCTCCCTGAGACTGTTACGTGCATTGTGAAGAAAACTTCTGAAAATAAGACTTGGGCATTTGAGAGAATCTTCTTCCTAATGGAAGTTTCATTCTTGATGCTTGGTTTCAGATCCTCATGAACGTAAGGACTGCTATACTGTCTCAGGCATTAGAGATCCAGTTAGTCTAAATATCTTCTCTCTCTGTAGCAATTAAGAGATATTCCAGGACAAGCTGAAATAAAACCCTGCGGAAGGAGTTATGAAACAATTGATTCATAGAGATTTGCCAAGCTAGAAATTTCTAACTACTGAGGTTATGGTTTGAAATGTGAGGATTTGTAACTTAATAAAGACCTTTCAAATTAAATGAAAATAAGTTATTGGGAAAAATAAAATCTAGTGATATACTCCTAAAGTCTTTGTAACTTTGTCATGTGAAAAATGCCTTAACAGCCAGTTTTTTAAATATACCATTTGTGGTATATCACATAATTAAATTAATTTCTCAAATACATTAAAGGCAAGCTAAGTATTCCAAATATTAATACATAGACTATCCTGTACTGTTTCTCTTTTAAGAAATTTGGAAGCATCCGAGCAGATTTAATTGAACAAATGAGATTCAAACAAAGGCTGAAAGTTATCCAAACCCTTGAAGATACTACAAAGCGCAATGTGGTAAGTACTGAAATAATGTTCTTTGCAAAGATTAAGGTCAGTAGGTTTTTGAAATTTAAATTAGCTTTTCAATGAGACATGGATTTCAAATCCATAACTATTAATGTTATGTTTTAAAAGGTACGAACTATTGTGACAGAGACTTCTTTTACTATCGATGAACTGGAGGAACTGTATGCTCTTTTCAAGGTAAAGTTTAGTGAAAATAAGATCACATGCCTGCAGGAAATACAAATGTTTATTTTTGATATGGGACTGTGTTTTTTCTAAAGGCCAGGTTGAGTCTGTGAGTGAGTTAGTATCAGGTATGTTAATACAAACTTGAATTAGCTACTGTATTATTGAATATACAAAAAAACCCCAACCAGTTTTTAAAAGCTCAGGAAATAAATGGTTTGTTCATGAAAAAAAATTAATATACTGATGGAAATCTATTATAATGAAAAAGTGAATAGATAGAGGCTTTTGATCTGTCTTTCTATAGAAACTTACATATGTGTCTCTCTACCTGACCCGAGTTTTGGAATTTAGCACAGAAATACCTTTATTCTGTTATCTCGGGCAGTTTAATACTTCTGTATCACAGTAGCTGATTTTTGCCATTGTTAGTGCTTTAATGTATACTGTATTACATGGAAATTTAACATCACAAAGTGATGTGTCTTTGTAGTTGATTGTACAGCAATACCATTAGATCCAGAAATTTAAAGGTTTTTTTATAATGGAGATTTTTTGGTATACCATGAAGAATTTCTTTCTTTTCAGTTTCCCATCTGTAATGTCAGGTCTTACAATTGTCCAAATACTGCAGTGCCTTCTTTCAGTCTTCCACGGAATCAGTGAAACCAGGTCAGACAGTCCAGCCTGGTTGATCACTCTGCAGTGCTAGGATCTCTTTCTCTAAGCTTCTGAGTTGTTTTGAATTGGATTCCACTGAAATCAGCTCCAGAACTTTCACTGACTTCAGTAAGACTGAAAGAGTAGGACTTTATACGGTATTTTTGAGACTATACAGTTCAGCAAGAAATATTTCAAATAAACAGCTATTTTCATATGCTCTCAAGTTAAAGATTTCATGAGAGTCCCTTTTCTGACTTGACTGTGTGGTGAGGTGTAAGGGGGTGACTAAGCATAACAAGCTTGTGTATATATGCAAGTCACAGCTGCTTACTGCCCTGTTCAAAACAGGTATTTCATGTTTCATCTGCCTAGGAGGCAGAAAAAGTTTTGCTTCATCTTCTTTTTTTGTAGAGGGATGTCTTTTTGTGCTGGTCGGAGGAGAAACCTCTTGCAGAAGTGCAAGGGCTAGGTAGATGGATATACATCTGCTAGTCTTGTGTTGTTTTAAGAATGTGTGTGTGTGTGTGAGTTGTTTGGATTTTTTTTTTTTATTATTATTATTGATAGGTGATGAGTTGTTTACAGAGGCGATGACAATCTCACAGCATTTGCCTTCTGTTCAGGCAGAACATCTGACTAGCTGCTACTGGGGAGGAAACAGCAATGCTATTGACCGGCATGATCCCAGCCTGCCTTATCTGGAGCAGTACCGTATTGACTTTGAGCAGTTCAAGGGAATGTTTGCTCTCCTCTTTCCTTGGGCATGTGGAACTCATTCAGATGTATTAGCTGCACGCTTATTCAGGCTTCTTGATGAAAACGGAGACTTGCTCATCAACTTCCGTGAATTCGTCTCTGGGCTAAGTAAGGAAAACTCACAGCACTCTCAAAATAATCTGACCAAAGCAGTTTGTTTCTAAAGGGGATCCAGTCCTTCAGAAACACAGATGTTATATTAGCTATCAGATGATGAGTTTGGGTTTGACATATGCCAATTTGCATAAGTAACCTTTGTTTAAGAGTTGTTCATGACACCATTCAGTTTATTGTATCATGCCTGTGGCAGTGGTTCCCGCCGGGGTTTAGGCTGGACTCAGTAGGTGCAGCTACATTAGCCAGTGGTGTATCACACTGGGAGAAGGACCACACATGAACTACACGTCCATTAGGGTCCAAGGATTTCCCTGACTGCTAACTCTCAACACAAAAATGACCTGCACTTGTGTGTGATTTGTGTGAATGGTGTGATTTCTTCTAATCAAAGTATTTCCTTGGGGGAAAGTCTTTTGTATGTTCTTCTGTAGTATTCCTCTCTCAGTGACACTGCATTTTGTTATCTGCTCCTTAAACTCCCTGGAAGTTGGGAATTTATACCTTTTGTCAGTGCTACCCGCCCTGGAAAGGGGAGAGAGGCAGTATTTGCTCCCTTGGTTGTTCAGGAAGAAGACTTTTGAGAAATTTATGTGCACATATAAGGGGCAGGGGAAGGCTAGAGTTGCAGATGCTGGGTTTTTTTGCCACTGAATAAAAGCGCTTCTATTTAGCAGGCTGCTGACGCCTCACATACACATGTCCCTGTGTGAGGGGAAGGTATTGCACCTCAGAGTATATGCAGAGAGAGGTACCACCTACATTACTTTTGAAGTCAATAACCGAGACTGCAGACTAAGAGAAGGATGGAAGTCACCTGAAAAGGAGAAAGTAGAGGTGCAGGTCAGATAGGGAGGCTGAATGTCATTAATGGAGATTACAGCCCATGCAATTCTTGAAGAAGAAAGATTTCAAGACATGCAAGTCAAGTATCATAACAAGGGGAATGTGCAAGCCCCAGAATTAACATGAAGAAGCAAAGATGAGGCAGGAGCTGGCCACCTCTCTTTTGAATATAGCAGGAATTACCCCCTGTAAGTGACCGACATCTCACCATCTATCATGTTATTTTATGGCAACCTGACATTTCCTCCAGCTTTACATTTTGATCCTTTTTGAGAGAGAAAAGGTTTCCCAATCTGGCTTTCAGCAACTATTTGTAACAGTATTTCTAAACAGTAGGGGTCCAAATGCAGCCTCGCATTAAAACCTCTGTGTAGCAATGGTAACACCTCTTTTCTCACAGGTACAAAATAACTGTGTGACAGTAAAACTGATTGCACACCTCCCCTTCACACCACCCAAAAAAACAGCGCTTCCTATGATGCGGTTCTGAATTGTATTTGAGGGACTGTTTGCCAAGTAACACTTAATGGCCTTTTGAGACATGACCCATGGATTAGCTACTCTTGCTGCTTACAGGATGCTGTTAATAACAATCAACCAGTTATTGGTTGAGACAACATTTTTTAGAACCATCAATGAGTAATAAGAACAAGGAACAGTGTTGAGCACTGTGAACAGAAATGAATGTAAAATGCACAATTGTGGCTATAAGCCAACATGACTGAACTAAAATCTTCAATGGGCTAAACAATCAAAACTGCTCATTCTGCAAAACCAGACTTTTTTCAGAAACTAAGCCCAATGTGGCATACCTTGAAAACTTTTTTTTTTTAAAAAGTAACCCTCCCCAACCCCTTTTTTGTTTAAGCAGCACATGAATGGTAGCAAGGACAGCGTAGTCAAAAACAACATGGGACTTGTTTGAGCATATTTCACCATGCTCCAGGACTTTTAAAAATTCCACAAACATCAGCTGCTTCAGTCTGCCTCACCAACCCAATATGCCTTGTCTAGGAAAATCTAAATGAGGAATATCTTCTGTTGGAGCAAGCGGCATCTGCTCAACAGGGGACTGTGTCACCTTTTCCTTGCGGCTGACCTGGAAAGCATGGTCAGAGCGTGGGCATTCTGGAGGTGACCTGTGGGCACCATCCTTTCTCTTCTTACTGTGTCCAAACAGCAGTATTGGACTCTGGCCAATGCTCAAGTCTGTCTTTCATAAAGAAAGCATCCTATTCAAGTACTTCCTGGGCATGGCCCCTCTAAGAGGGTGCTTGTTGATGGCTGAAGCAGCCATGGAACCTGAAGCATTTTGGTTTCACAACTCTCTTTTAATGGCCTTGGTCAGTGTAGCCATAAGGATTTGTTTCCTCGAAGCCTCTCTTTGGTGCCACTGACTTCTTCTAGGAGCTCCATGATGAGGAGGTAAAAAGGGATGCTGTGTGCCCCAGCATGAGCCCATGGCCCTTTCTTCTGTGTCAGCATGAAAGCCTTGGGATAGGAGTGCTGTAATTGCAACTGGAAACTTCCATTTCCTTTTCATAGCCTCTGCAGCGAATAGCTCAAGAACCTCCTACTTCAGGTGCCTCTAGAGCCTCAGCTGAGCAAAGATGGAACAACCTGGAATATTCTTCTGTAAATTTACTCTGTCGTGTTACTGCAAGTTCAAATAAAGGAGTGATCTTGATTAGTTTTTCTCTAGGAGTTGTGCTGCTCAGAAAGGGTTGTCAGCCTTGGTTATGAGCTGTTTGGGGTATTCACTCATGAAGAAGCTCACCTGCACCCCAATAGCACACTGGACATAGTCCAGTCATAACACGTCAGTTGTTGGCTCTGGATCCCAGTAAGCTAGAGAGATTTCCTTCCACATAAACTCAAAGTGTCCCCCTGCCTCCCATCGTGTTTTTGCCAATACTCCCTTCTCAGAGCATGCAGCTCCCCAGTGACTGCTGGTGACTGCAGCACTCACCACAGCCTCATGCAAAAGTCGGCACCATGAAAACTGTGTCTCTCAAGGGGTACCTGAGTGTATTTTTTTTTTTTTTCCCCTGAAAACAACTTTTCTCCAAGCACAGGTTGGAGGAGGATGTTTAGAAAGCAGTGTTAACCTCGCCACTCCTCCAATCCTTTCAGGGAGCTACGTGCTGTACAAACACTCAGCACCCTTCCGCCTGTGTTCAAGAGAGGGGCAACTGAAGCCAACACTTTGATGTTGCTACTAAGTTTTATATTGACAGAATAAAGTTTTAACCTGTTTAATTACTTTGTTAATGGCCTCAAAGACGACGGGGAAAACTGCATATGTGGCATTATGCCCAGGAAAGACCTGACATCTGCATAGTGTTGACAGAAGGAGAACAGTCAGAAAGGGGGCTTGGTGAAGGTTGTTTCTGGTCATGCCATGGAAAGGGGTGTGGTGGTCAAACCCTGAGAGGGGGCAAGAGCAGGTGTGTATGAGGACATGGGCTGCAGCGTGAAGGTGACAGCTTTCACTGTTGCTGTTGCAGGCAGGAAGATTCAAAGGGTGTAGTCATGCTCTCTTCCAAGCACAGTTTCTTCTCTCACCACAAAGTACATTTAAAACTTTTGGACAAAAACTCGCAATGCATCGTCTGAGACTCGTACTGCAGAAAGACAAGACTTGTTGAAACTTGTTGAAGGTTTTAAGACCTGTGACTCCAGAGTGCCTGGAAGGAAGTGTTTCTGGTTGGGACTAAGAATAATCTTGTCACCTCCCCGCTGCTGTTTACAGGCCCTCAGCAGGGTCATCTGCTTTGCTGTTCAGGGATATAGGGGTCATACAGCAGGCCAATGAATTCTCTGGGCTCTCCTATGAAATTATCCCGGTACTGCAGTGTGCAGGTCAAAATGGCAGCCTGAGCTGAGGTATCCACCCATACAAAGGTCTCCCCTAACTCTCTATAATAGGGCCACATATACCAGAGGTCCATTCCTGTTCTGTTGTGTTTATGAATGTAGCCTAATTTTTTTTTTTTAATAGTTTAATACAGCATCAATCCTCAGATCTTGGGTAGCCCACTGCAGCTAACTTTCAGGCAGTTCCTGCAAATTGACGGTAGGCTGTTCTTGCCCTTGTAAAACTTTCTGGCCTCTCCCAGGGGAGACTGAGAAGGTTGTCTCTGAGAGAGAGATATCTTTGTCCGATGATATCTTTGGTAGACTTGTCCCTCATTGTGTTGTCTTCATTCATGTACGTTTTGAGGGGAAAAAGGGCCTGGCATTAGGAAGCACACACAGATTCATTTCAGTCGAAAAGAGACAAGTAGTAGCAGTTGAGATTTTTCAGTTCTCTTCACATCTGGGGACAGGGAGTGGAACAAGCCTACATGTGTCACCAGATATCCTGTGCCTTGAATCCTATTTTGGTGAATGCGTCCCTAGCTGTTGCTGGCGGACACAGAACTGCAGCCCCATTCTGTGCTTTGGTTATTTCATGTAGCCTTTAGCAGTGAGGCACTTCACGTAGTACCTGGGTGCATAACCTAAGACACAGTTTCACCAGAAGAGAAAACATTATCTGCACGGTGTAGTACACCAGACAGGAACATAAGGAGGTTTTGTGCCTAAAAAGGGCCATGTTGAAAGGAAAATGGCTAATGTAGATGTACTCAATTCTTTGGCCTAACATTGGTATTTACTGCAGTCTGAAGCTTTACAGCAGACTGTGATTGTTAGTATTTGCCGAACCACACTTTGTAATTTGCATAGCAGAACTAAGTTGACACGGTAGCCTATAAGGTGAAATAAATCTCTGCGTAACCTAATTAATGAAGCTTCATTCATTTGTTTATGAATTACATGCTATAAAAAGTAAGATTAATGAAGTCTGATTATCGGTTATTTCTGTACTTTAGAATGAACTAATATCCATTTAATTAATTGGAAGGAGGGGCTACAATAGACCACTTGGATTTTATACAGCTAATTGTAGTGTAGACCAGAAAGGAATAGGGGTTGAGGTGGATAAAGCACCAGAAAGTATTGCCTGAACATCAGTTTAGCCAGTGGCTAAGCTGTGATAAATGCTATTTACTTGAATTTCTCTTTCTTTTTTTGGTAAATATCTTACTGTTCTAAATCATGTGATGTTATTATTGGATCCTCAGATCAGAAAGTGTGGACTTCAAACCACACAAAAAAGGTCATCTTAACTTTCAGCTGGAGGCCTTTCTGAGTGGTAATGTGATGATCATAGATTATTTTTGAGCGTTGTAAAATAGACATTTAATGAAGGATCCAAGGTTGAAGTACAAAATTTCAGGGTCAGGTGGTCTGTGTTCTCTTGCTATTTCTACTGCAGATCTTAGAAGTCAAGTGACTGCCTTATGACCTCAGACTATAAAAGGAGTACAGTGCTGCCCAGAGTGAATGTAACAGCTTCTAAAATTAAATACTGTAGCAATAATAAATAGAATGGCATTGAATGCTGAGTATTAACATACTCTATATAATGCTGTTTAGGTGCAGCATGCCATGGAGATCTTACAGAGAAGCTGAAGCTACTGTATAAAATGCACGTTTTGCCTGGTAAGTAAATGATGTTAAAATCGCTGTCATCTCGGTGAGAATGGAAATTTGGAGCAGAGTTGTTTATGACTAGCTTTCCCAATTAAAAATTAATCTGTGGGAATTATTGTAGCTTTTTATGCAGCAGTAAAATAAGAGAGCTTCTACCATAATCAGACATGGATTTGGGAAGTCTGAAAGCAGCTGTGCAGCCCTCTGGTACTCCAGCCACAAACAGGCCATTTATATGTGTCTCTTGCCTGTTTAGTTGGGGTTGGTGACTTCCCCCATGCATAACAAATACAGTGTTCTTCAGCCTTTATTACCATAATGCACTTCATTTAACAGTGAAGCTAGCTTAAAATGTTCCTGCATGCCCTGGCTACTCGTTTCTGTCCCCAGGCTTTCTTCTTTGTTTTTCCCCTCTGGGCTGATACAACTGTTTGCAGAGGGAAGCTCCAGATTGTTTCATAGATTTGTTTTACAGGATGCTGTACAAGCTGTTGCACTCAGCTATGTGAGAAAGGCAGTTTAGGGTGGAGAGGGGATGGAAACATCTCAAAACAGTTTTGCCCCTGAAGAAAATGATGTCCTGGAACTGTATCCTCTCTGGCTTGTCACACATGTGCCGTAAAGAACCTATTGTTGTCCTCACTGAATGTGCAATTTAAGTATATTGCAACTGTTTGGGTAGTTTAAATCTTGTGCACATTTACATCCTCTAGTAGAGAGATCTAAAAGCTTTGAGAGGACATTCACCTTCAAGTGCTTTGACAATGTGTCCCTGATTGCTCCCAGCTGGCTGGAGGTAGGCTTGAGTGATGCACTAATTTAACTGGAAAAAAACACAATTTTATTGAATTATAACGGAAGAGATCCATTTTTAAGAATGCAGCTTCTGGTATTTGGGGACTGGTAAGCTCATAACAAATCATGACAGACTGTTTCCACCTAGGAAAGGGTTCATGCCCTGCTTAGGACATGCTGAGCTGCACAGACGAAAGTAATGGAAGTAGACATGGGAAGATGGGCAAGCCAGCCTCTGAAGGCAAACAGCTACTTGTTAGTCAGACAGTATTGGATGTCGGGGAGGAGACAGTACAGGTCCAGTTGTTCATCTCTTGTGAGCTGAAAAGAGATGATTCCTAACCCATCACATCCTCACACTTTTCCTTCTAGAAACTGACATTCTAAATGTATCAATGGGAATATGTTCTAGTTTTTAATTAAAGGGTAGAATTTTTAATGAAAAAAATTTATTGTATTGCTTAGATCCATCCCCTGAGCAAGAAGAGCCGGACTCTGCTTTTGAAGCTACTCAGTACTTTTTTGAAGACATCACACCAGAATGTACACACGGTAGGCATCTTTTGTCTCAGGCGTGAAAAGATGAGGTAATGTGCTTCAAACAACACGTACTTTTTTATTGGATTAAACTTTGTAAGTGAAGGATTCTGTGTAAAAAGAAGTATGTAGTTTTTGTATGTATTTTGACATCCTTAGAGGTGCGGTGTGTATACACTAAGAACTCCCCTGGATTGTGCATTGCAGAAGTACTCTCAGAATAATGTCATCAGTGTGTTGCAATAGAATTAATTTTGTGATAAGTGCAGCATATATGCCTCGATGGAGAATGAGCATAAATATATTGGCTTTCAAGATATATTTGGATCAGAACTTAAAATACTCTTAAAAACTGAAACCAAAAGATATAGCAAAATGTAGTTCAGCAGTTTGAAATCTTTTTGTGCCCTAATGAGAACCTGGGTCTCATCGCTGTTGTCTTAAATGGCAATCTCTTTCTTGAGATATTTGATGTTAAGTTTCTCTCTGATTCAAGAAAAATGTTGCCCATCCTTCAGATCACAGGGGGAAGAAAGGTTGTTTGAAAATACAGATGAAAATTAATAGACTGCAGATGGCAATTTTAAGTCCTGATAGACAAAAGAAGATGCACTAATATAATCACGAAACATATATGATGCTAGAAGCTGTTTGTGTTGTGGTAACACAGGCTAATCATTGTACTACACAAACAAAACCTAAGATGGTCCCTGTCTTAGTATTTATATTATCAATTATATGGAATTTGTCAGCAGATTTAAGAATAAGCAAAAATGATCATTTAGTCCTGTCCTTTTTACTCTGCATTTTCTGCAGTGTAAACATTTCCTTTATTTTGCACTGTACATATGAAAAGTATGTATGTATCTAAAACCACACTAATCTCTTTCTCCCCCTGCCCCTCCACTTCCTAGTCGTTGGCCTAGACAGCAGGAACAAGCAAGGAGTAGATGATGGGTTTGTTACAGTGAGTCTGAAAACAGACAAAGGTATGCATAGTGTCTCCATTTGAATTACATCTTTTGTTTCTTGTAAAGATGCTCCTTTTGAAAATGGAAAAAAAAGTATTAATTTAAGTTTTCTTGATGGACTTTTCCTGCATCTCTGGTAACTTGTTGACAATAGGCAAGAAGAGCTCACAAGAGAATCGAAATTATCTGAGAATGTGGAGCCAAGAGAATAAATCCAAAGCAAAAAAAGCAAAGGACTTGCCCAAACTGAATCAGGTACTTCTGCTTGACACTTACTGATTTTTCATTAACTTTATACTTTCTTCGCATACCTATAAATATTCAATACATTAACACTGAATAAAGGTTTTGTTTTGAGGCAGATACTTTTTTACCAGAGCAGCAGTCAGCTGATTACAGAAGTTAGTTGTTTTCAACATACTGTAACTGGCATTTAGCTCCCAAGACATCCTAAAAATGAGATACACACATATTTTGATCTCTAGACAAAGGGTGATACAACACTGAATATCACCAGCTAGGTCATAATTTCCAATACACATTACCTGAAAGAAGCGTTTTATATTTTGTAATTTATACTGTCAGTCGCATTCCCCTTAGATCCATAGCTGCTAAAGAGGAGGAGGCCCACTGGGTTAGCTGTTTCCTCCAGTTTTATCAGACCCCTAGTTATATTTAGCATCATTCCTACAAGAAAATCCACCAAAATGAATGCTAAGTGTCTCACTGCTCACCCTCTGTTGCCCTCCTGTGGTTGCAGAGAAATGAATGTCATATGTTGGAAGAAACATCCAACAGTTTATTCTAAATAGCGTTGAGAGAGGCAATGCGTCTGGCTGCCCGGTCATTGAAAATGCTTTCTAGACTGCACCTAGATTATTTCCAGTTTCAGTTTAATCACATAAACTATTGTGTCATACCTCCATTCCAGACTTTTTAAACTGATTTAATAGATCTCAGTCTGATTTGTTTCCTGCTCTCTCATTAATGTTTCCTTCCTCTGTGTTTAGGGACAGTTCATTGAACTGTGCAAGACAATGTACAATATGTTCAGTGAAGACCCCAATGAACAAGATCTGTACCACGCTACCGCTGCTGTGACAAGCTTGCTTTTGGAGATAGGTGAGGTTGGTAAGCTCTTCAGTGTGCAGCCCACAAAAGAGACAGACAGCAGCAGTAACAATTGCAGCAAAACTATTCAGAGCGAGCTGTTTCAGAAGAAGGAGCACCAGCAGTATCCCCTCGAACAGCACAAGCCATTCCAAAGCAGCCTCGTCACCAACGGTGAGGAGGCCGTTTGCACCGACAGCACCCTGGGCATGCAGATGGAAGACATTAAGCTCGAAGACTCTTCTCCCAGGGACAACGGAGCCTGTTCTTCCATGCTCATTTCCGATGATGATACAAAAGATGATAGTTCAATGTCCTCCTACTCAGTACTGAGTGCAGGTTCACATGAAGAAGAAAAGCTGCACTGCGAGGACATCAGTGAAGACACCGTTTTGGTACGGAGCAACCACACCGCTTCTCTTCGTAGAAGCACTAGCATTGACAGAGACTGGGCCATTACCTTTGAACAATTTTTAGCCTCCCTTTTGACTGAGCCAGCGCTGGTTAGGTACTTTGACAAGCCTGTGTCCATGATGGCTAGGATTACTAATGCTAAAAACGTAAGGATGATGGGTAAACCGATAACCTCGGCCATTGACTATGAAATCTCTACTATGTCGGGATAAAAGGCAGTTGGGTTTTTTATTTATTTTTTTTATTCTCTATTTATTAGTACCTGCCACAGGCCCTGGTATTTTCAAAACATGATTGTTTTCACTAATGTGAAAATGTTGGGGTGCAAACTTAACTATCTTGAAGTATAATCACTCTTTCTGTGGGAAATGTTACACAAATGCAAATTTTGTTCAAACTACAGAAAAAAACAAACAGTTGTCAGTGAAGTGTGTGTATTATTAACCTTGCTGTCAATATAAGATGGTAAAGATTAGTTCCTAATTTCTAAATGTAAACTTAAGGCTGATATTTACGTGCATTTTTAAAATAGACATATATAGAGATCTGATTCTTGGGGAAAAAAGTAAACAAAACAAGAAGTACCTAACATTTAAAGGGACACTGTCAACCTGAATAGGACCTCAGGTGAAATGAAGTTCCAGGCAACATCCCTGAAGGATAATCTTGTTTCATATAACTTGCTTTTTCAAAGATAATGGGTTTTAACATGTGCTTAATTTTATTTTTTTTAATATATGGAAGATCGCTTCAGTGACACCTGCCTGGCCCCTAACTTCTTCTGCTTAAGATTGGTGCACTCAAATAAAAGTGAGAAGTCCATCCCAAGCCTAGCTGGCACATCAGGCAAATGTGGTTAAATGTGATGATTTCTGCTCCGACGGAAGGCAGAGCCCATTTGCCTTCCCCTGGGCTCAGCGGCCTCTGGCCGCACCAGACCCGGCAGAGAACGAGCCCCTTCCCGGCCGCAGCCACCAAGGGAAGATCTCCAGCATGGCCCTGCCCGCAGCTGTGTGCCTGACCAGTGGACTTGGGAGCTTTGCTGGTGTGCTCCAAAGACAGCGTGTGCAGGTCCCAGAACAGATTGGTAGAGTCTCTTTTTAAAAATTGAAAGCTGTTTTTAAAAGTTAAAAAAAGTATAGATATACTTCTAAGGCTGGATCTACAGCATATATAGCTTAGCTCTTAAAACTAACCTTTACCACCAACCTATTATATCCTTGTTAGATTAAGAAAATAAAAATCTGTATTGCATAAGTCTTCATTTACAGCAGTGTAAAGTAGCAGTAATGAAAAAAATCTGCAAGATAATGTAACTGAATGTTTAAGTCTTACTGAGAACACTGTCACTTTATATAAAATGAATAGTATCCTGTATCAACTCACTGAATAATATGTTAAAATGAAAACTGGAGCACCTGCACTTTGAATCCTTGCTTCTTTTATACAGATATTCAGGATTTTTTTTTAAATTTTGTCAGCTGTTTTTTAATTCATATTTGTTCAGTTCAGGATCATGCCTACATGCCTAATCTTTATTTGCTGTTTTGAGAATATTTTCTGTAGAATACTGTTGATTTTTTTATACTCCTGTATATCGCATCCATGTAACTTGCAGATTTTTTAGCAGAAGCTATGTTTAATTCTTTTGTTTTAAAAGAATGCTTTTAAATTGTCAGATGAAGTGGTTTTTAACCACAAATAGGTAATGTGAACAAATAAAGTACACTCTGCACAGATTTGATTTTTAACTATTAAAGTCACGCTAGAGGGAAAAGTAGGTGATTGTGTTTTATTACACCGACAAATGACATTACAACTTCAGCACCGGGTTTCCGAACAAAAGCGTTTGTGGTTTCCATGCCTGGTTTGTTTAACACTTGAATGTGTTTAATTCCACCTGCAACAAGCAACCCATGCAAGCTTCTCTCACACTACTCAGTTTCATTAAATTTTTCCCTGCTATGCTCACATTTGGTGACAACGGTTGTTACTACTTTTTAAGACCCCCAGATATTTTATGACCCATCTATGCTTTGCTGTAGCTCACTAGGCATGTTTTTAAGGCTTTAAATATTACAATGTTTTTTACAGGGTACCGGTAAGCTGAGATGTCAGCCTCAAAACCATGGCAGTGACAGAACAGACATGGATGTGCCCTATTCAGTGAATTACATTTTTGAAACTTAGCATCTATTTGTGTCTATAGAAAGTTAATTTGCAAAGCATGGCTGTTAATTTCTGAGCACTGCTCAGATATCCCTTGTCTCAGTCAGTTTACCGTTTTGTTTTTTTTTTTTTTTTTTCTTTTGTTGGAAGTAAGAGTTCTCTCCTTTATAATTTAGCCATGTGTAGACTACATATAACGGTACAAAAAAGCAAGGCAGTCGTTCTGCGTATGAGACTATGCAGATTGGTTCACATGGGTATCAAATAATGATGTTCATTTGAAGCCGTAATCACCATTTTGAAGAACATGATTTGTTTTACCTTAAGATGCCAAGGCCAGAGCAGGGTGCTTTATTGTAATGCCTGGCAGCTGAATAAGTTCTCACGGAAGTCTTCAGCGTTAAGGGTTAATACCCTTAAGCGGATTGTTGACCTTTTTAAGTTTGCAGATCCCTAAAATATTTCTCTTTTAGGCATCTGTCATGGTAAAGTGAATTTAAGCCTATCGGCAATCTGCCACACACCCCTAGTGATGCACAGACCACACATGAAAAACATTTCTTTATCTTAGAAGGGCTTGCCAGCTTTGCTCCACTCCCCACCCACAGGGCTGGGGGTACAACGTATCCTGAAAATATTTTGCTGTTACAACTCCTGTAACAAGAAGAGGCATCCACAAGTGGATCTCTGGTGCAACAGGAGCCATTTTGCAAGGCAACTTCTTTTTGTTTTGCTCCAGTAGCCTTCCTTACCTTCCTGATCACGTCAACACAGCTCCTAAGTGTAAGCCAGGTCATCTTTAAGAATGGCTTTGCTATAGGTAGCAGCCAGGTGAGCTGATTTTCTCCAGATTTTTTTGGGTGAGGCTGGTCACCTGATTAGGGCCACACCAAATGGCCAGCCAGCAGTAGCCTATTTGATGACCAAATCTGCTGTGAGCTGTTCTTTAGTAGCTGGGTGGGAGTTGATGAGAGGACAGCTACAGAAGAGTTCAACTGACCAGCATGCAGTGATGCAGACCCCTTGAGAAAACGTGAGTGAATATTTTTAAAGTCTTATCTGTATGTGTAGGTATGCGACGCAAGCAAGTTGGTATGGCTTTACAAGTGCCTGTATGTCATGCTTTGAGATAGAGTCTCTTTAATCTGTGGACTGTGGAGTTTAGTTAGGGCTGTTAGTCTCACAGCTGGGGAAAAAAAAAGGAAGATCTTTTTCCTCTTCAGAGCTGAGATCTGTGACTGGACACTGACATGCTGCTTTTTTAGCTTGGTAGGAGCCTGCTGGCAACAGGGTGTTGCCTGCCTGCCGAGAGACAGACAGCAGGCAATGGAGGTGTGAGAGGTTATTTTATAGAGCTTTCCCTATTTAAAAAAAAAAAAAAAAAGCCACAAAGAAACATTCTTCTCTTTTCTTCCAATCTGTCTTGCAATTTATTCAGATGCCAATAGCATATGAAAGTTCAATGATACTTATTTCCCTCATTGTAGTGCCTTACCGCTCCTGAATTCTAGGAGGGTTGTGTTTGAGACTTGTAAAGGTTTGTGTTACATGAGTTTTGGGCAAGCAGGCAGGAAGCTCGTTATGTGTTGTATTAAACCTACTGAAAATTTGACATCATAAACGGTCCTAAAGAGAAAAGCACCTTTGGGATTCTCACACAGTGACGCTGGAGCTTCTGTTGTAGTAGATGTTGTCTTATCAAGATGGCAGAGGCGGGTATGGCATACATGGTGCGGTACGTAAGGGAGCTGCGGGAGAGAAAGGGAATGGCCTTCATGCAGCTGGTCAAGCAGAGAGACGGTGCTTTTGCTTGGAAAGCCCTGCCGCCGGGTCTGGTTCCTCAGCCGGCTGCTCTCCAAGCTTCTGGATCCCTCCTGTCGCAGGGTCTTCCATCATTAATCTTGCAGCAGCATTTTGAAACTGTGGTAACTGTTTTGACAGTAGGCGCGATACAGAAACCAACAAGAAACTGCTGGGAAGAGTTTGAATTCCATCAGGATGCTTAGAGCAACAAAACGAAGCGGGTGCCTAAGCACTGTAAGCCTACAACCTGCCTACACGGAAAAGCAATAGATCGGAGAAGGCGCCTGTGGCTGTCCCCGTGTGTTGCAGGCAGGGAGGGCGGCTTTCTAAGCCA